TCGGGAAGAACGAAATCCGATAGGAATCGCAGGATAAAGCTTAATTTATCTTTCATCGAGAGAATCGGCAACTGAGCAAAAATTTTAATGGGTCCCCGCCGCCATATTTCATAGTCGATGGTTCTTACGCCATTTAGTTCACGGGCTAATGGTCACCGCCAGGTGTTGAGATGCGGTTTGAGGGCAAAGGGTTTGACGTACAGGGCCGTTTCCGAATCCAAAAACCCGCTCCCTAAACGCCCTATGTATTATTCAAAGTTATTCGTTAGGTCTACAAAAACATACGTCGTAAGGGCGGGTGAGGACCTTTCGGATGTATCGAGCAGGAGTTGCGAATTATTGCGAAATGTTATTAAACTTTTTAATTATTAATTCATTCGATTGTTTTGGAACAAAATGCTGAACTCTCAGGCATTATTTGGGAATGGATTTCTTTCGATACGAACGCCCGATTCAGTAGCAAACGAGCGAAATTTCTAACATTTCTAATCTAATTTCTCGGACCCCACCTACTGTGGAACAAAAGAGGCGAGTTAAAAGCTCACGAGACGTTATTGGGGTTTTGCTAAATTTAATAATCGACGCGTAAAACGCCTGCCGTCCTTTTTGCCCTTATCGAGCCGGTAAAAACGAATTTTCGTATAGTTTAATTAATACGGGGCGTGAATAAATCGCACTAGCGGTACTTTTGCCATGTTAAATTTATACAGTGAGAATCATCATTGCATGTTCGGACTGGACGAAATCGATAGGTCGAATTTCACTGGTAGTTTCGGTGAATTATGCGCTTAATAAATTTTTCATAAAATTTAATGGAAATTCTAGAATTCGGGTCGATAAATTAATTAAATTCAAATTACTGAATTGTTTTTGCGTTCTTTCAACCGACATTTAAACATTGGTTAATAAATTGCCCAAATTTAATCAGGGATTTTGATATTATACTCAATTCGCTATCAGGAGATAGAAGTGCTTTTTATAATTTAATAAATAACTAACAACTACCTGTAATATTTACCGGCAGTGATTTAGATATCAATGAAAGATTAATATATTCAATTTTATTGTAAGTACATAGGTAATTTTTAATTTTATTAAATCATTTTAGTATCTATTTAATACCCAGAAGCACGACTATGTTCTTTGTGTTTAGGTCACTTTATCTTGAATTAGACAAGGGTTGTCTATTGTTATATACCCATACCCAGTATACTGAGTGGCACTACTAGTGAAAAAATAAACATAACTACTGCAAACTTTTTTAATTGAGCTGTCTTTTTCACACAAATTTTGGTTTTATTACCACCTCCTGATAGTAAACTGATAGTAAACTATAAAAGAAGACGTCCTATTTCATAAAATTTGGTTAATGTGAATTTAAAAGAGGGGATTTTTATGAAACACCCTGTACAGGGAATTTTTGTGTCACTGTAACAAAAAGTTATAGCAAAATAAAATATATCTGCGAAAACCGCATGTTTTTCTAATTTGGCATTTAAAAACTATTAGCTCACTGAATGGGCTACTTTTCATTGGGACATCCTGTCTATATAACAAACTATATATTAAATATAGCAAACTATATAATAAATTATATCGTAGGTATTCGTATTTTTCCCGTAATTCCTTTATTCCAGCACCTACCTACCAACGTAAGAACGCCGAAGTCCATTCTGGACCGCAAAAGGAATGCTATCCGGTCGCCGAAAAATAAAAACAGAAATATTTCCGCTCTATAAATTCCTCCGGGCCGCGAATTCCGGCTGCAGCGCCAGGACGAACGGGTGGCGGAAGGTCAGCCGAAATGAATAACGACGCCGAAAGGGAGGCGATATTCCAAATTGACTTTGTTGCATTATTTATCGCATTCTACGGCGATCCATTCGAAACCGCTGTCGGTGCCAGGCCCCGATGACAAAAGAACTACTTGATGCTTCGCTACATTATCGATGCCGTACGTGTATCGTGTCAACGTATCGTCAAACGTGTGCATAACGAGTTTCTTCTGTGAGAAAGGTTCATTTGGATGTAATAATAAATCGTTTATTTAGTGCATACAGGATTTTTAGAGCGATTTTCATTTGAAAATGGAAATTGCTATATGTTAAGAAAATAATGCAAAATGAACTATATTTCCGAAGCTTCATTAGAAGATTGGACAAAATAACCCCGTTGGTTTGACGGGCCTCGGCTCCTAATTAATTTCCAGCCTCTGACCAACAACAATTTATCTTCGGTCGCAACATTTTTAAGCGAGCGCGATAATAATTGTGTCCGAACACAAAGCCAGTTTCGCGCCCCCGAGAAGCACCAATTCGTTTCGCGTTTATCTGCATTCGCTCTGGATAAATTCTTCGTCGGACTGATTCGAAAATTATTCGCAGTTGGCATGGTAACAAACGACGTGGCTGTTTATCTTCGACTGAGGTGGCTGCGAGAGGTAATCCGCCGCCGCGTCCCGACGAGAACAAATGAACTTTATTATGGTGTATTTACTTTGCGATAGTCAGCTGTCATAAGCGGATAATACGCGTGTATGTAAACGTACGAAGGGAAACGTTTGCTGTTGCACGTGTTGACTCTCGTGTAGTTGATGGTGTTGCACACGGATCTAATGAGACATTTCCACTATTCAATCGAATAATAGTTGCGAGGGTTTGGCGAAAAAAATTATTTTATTAGCGAGTACAAATATGTATTGCATCGCGATGTATTGTTCGTACACAATACTCATTAGTTTATTTTAGTGCGTCATGAATTGAAGTCGACCACATAGTCAATAAATTTGGCATGCAAACAAATACGGACAAAAGGTGAATAAATTAATCAAACTATTTATTTAATTATTTGCAAACAAAATACCGATGCTGTCCCTTTTCTAATAATTTATACGATAATAGAATGATAATGATGGAATTATCCGATGTAGTAGTGTGCGTCCATAATTGCATCCGAGGAAATTAAGCGCAACGTTTTAAGGCTATGACGTTATTCCATCGACATTTTGCCTTTTAGTATTTTCATTTTCGCAATTAATTTAGTAACGGACGTCCTATTTTGTAATTAAATGAGAATTACAGTCAACTTTGCTAAACGATAAACTTCGCTTTACGTTTTGTAAATAAGTCTGTTAGGTGATTATTAAATTTAAGATTGTGCTGTAACCTGAAGATACGGTCTCTTATCGCAAAATGGAATTATACTCAGAGAGTTATTGTGTGCTCAAATCAACACGGGCACTCATCCATTGCGCTTTGGATAAAATCATAAAGTTTTAGGAAAAAAATCTGTTTAAATTCTCTATATAGATATTTATACAGTCGTAAAAGAGGTCCTTAACGCTTTACATACCTAAATAAAAAAAAATGTTTTTAGACTGTCGAATTTTCTAACGATTTTTTGGTACGGCTTAAAACTCTTGAGCGGCGTGATCGCGACGTCGCGTCGAGTTGAAAACCCAACGAGAAAGGCTGAAAGCTCGAAGTTGCAAAAAGTTATGGGAAAGTTTTTTGTCTCGACTGAGCAAATTAACCCGCCATAAAGTCGTATAAGTTTCTGTTTACACTCAGGAGTTGGTATATATCCCCGGTTTTTATTTTCTTTACTTCTTCCGAGTTAATAAATTCGGAAGATCGCTCTTCCGCCGTCGGTAGATTGGATTTGTATCGATTTATGTCCATTTACTTGAAAAGCGTTTTAAAAATATTAGCATGCGAATTCGGCCATAGGCATGTTAGCGATAACTACGCTTTAATTGCATTTTTCTGTATTTTTTCCAAAACAAGAGTGCAATGAATTTTTTCCTGATCCCATTTCCGAGTCCATTATCTAGGGATCATTTCGTTTTTGCGCTTTAGCATTTCCCTTTTTAACCCATCAATGTCCTTTTCCCAAACTTTCAACAAATTCCAACCTTCGGGAAAGAAATTGAACGGTTTTTTTGACGGACTTTATTTATTCCTCGGCGCTAAAAGAACGAGTTAAAAAAATATATAACAAGAGCGGGATCGTTGTTGAATTCGAGATTTCTCCTAGATAATTTCGGGGAGAAAAGAAAAGACAGGAATTTAATGGAAACACCCGATTCTTTTGTTAAATGATTCATGAGGTATGGGACGCCTTTTATGAGATTCGTTTTAAATGGGACCGTTTTTCAGCTGGAATGTACCTATATACCGTGTTGTTTTGAAAGACCTATGTAAGAATATTTTCATTACAATAATGGAATTCCGGAAAAACGGTTTACAACAATGCAGATGGCGAATTTAATACACACTAGTGAAGAATGTTTGAACCAGATAAATTTCCTTCAATTTCGTTTGATGAAATTTTTCCGGTGTGAGTAAATACAAACAAATGATGACAAATGCTTTTATCGTTAATAAAATAATTCACGGTTCACGAAATTACAAATCATAAAATAAAGCAAGTTATCACAATAGGATCAACCGAGCAGGAAGTTATAATTGTACAATAAAAGCACGTTTACAAATGATAATGGTTTCTATCTTCACGTACATCGGGCAAATTAATACAAATTATTCATGTATTTTCATGGAACACTACGCATTTTTTTGTTTAAAGCTCGTTCAAACTTCATTTAAATCGAAAAAAAAAAATATTATATCCAACTGTGAGATATACGCATAATTGATATAGCGTTTTTATGTGTCCCTATATTTAATTAAATGATGGTAATGAATGTTTTCATTACAAATATTGAATTATAAAATTTAATTAGCTTTAATTATTTTATTAACTAGAAAGAGAATAAATTAATGATCGAATGGAATATGGTGTAAAATGAAGCGCCGGGTAAAATCACAGCAATATCGCCGCTAATATTGATGGTGTAATTTTAATAATTATATCGGGCTTTTGGCGTGACTTTGTTTGAATATTAAAATTTTGAAAAATTAGTTACCTACTGATAAAATGGAGGAAAGGATTCATGCACTATGAGTATTAAAATAGTATCTTTTATAAAGTATTCTACTCACTGTTCTATTTCCTAAATTTCTAATGCGGCATCCCAAATAAGTCGTTTTTCCTACGAGAGCAGTCACGTTTCTCGAAACGCTCGTTTCAAAATATGGTCCCCGATCTATAACTAATGGTTCCACGTCACTATCACTAGATACACTGTATTCGTTATAATGCCGCTTCAATCGACTCCATCCTGAAAAGAAAATGCGAAGTTAGAAATATTTATTTATTTATATTTATAAAGGAAAAGGAAATTAAGGAATATTGTAGGTATACTAATAAGTAGTTTATCTATATCGAGAAAATTTTGTAAAAAATTTGTTGTAAACCGACTAAAATTTGAGCTAACAGGATCCAAAGCAACACCTAACAGAAACACTGCAGAATAAACATGATCGGAAACTCGCAATTCCTGGAGGCACATCAAACTACCGGAGCCGGTATTGACACTGCCGCTTCCGGAACAATGCAAAATATTTAATATTAGTTTCCGTCTCTCTGCATTCTTCGTAGCTTCCACTTCCTAATAAACGACCGGCGACTTCCAAACATCTTCAGAACTTGACGGCGTCGTGGAAAATTCTTTTATTGAATATTTCGACAACTAAACGCGGCACGAATGGTTTACCAATGGCAATGACAAAGTGCACTTCCAGAGAATGGATTATATGTATTTTATTTAAGAATATGCTATAATTCTACTCGGTGTCTATTCAAAAAATATAAGGGCATAAAAATATCCATTGCTCAAAGCCAAAAAATACAGTGTGATCCATTTGAAATAAGAAAGTTACGGCCACTTTATGTTAGTCAAGTTTATCAGACAATTTTAAACGCCCTGTATATGAACCATGAAAATTAAAGTAACCATGAAAGTTACTCGAATCATTGAATTCTAAAACAATAGGGAGAAATTAAAAAATCTCATTTATGAATGTATTTGTTTTTGATTGCATGTTCGGGATTTCAAATAAAAATGTCGAATATTTACGGACTTTTTACTTTATAGGTATTCATGTACATATTGTTTCCCCTACACTAATTAAATTATTTCGTATGAATTTTTGCACATGCATGCTGACATTCGCAGAAATATTTCACTTGCAAATAACAGACAAAATGAGAATATAAGAATTTCTAATAAATCTCTACCTTCGTTCGCATATTTTAGTTACTTTTCTCTTTTTTTACATGAACGAATATCTTTTATTTAAACTCCCTACTTCAAGTTCTATTGTAAAAATAAATACCCCTATAATCGTCAAAAACACAAATACTCTAATGGACATTTCTCAATCAACTTCAGAGCTTCTCGTATCAAAATGACTTTACAATATTTTTTTACAAGTTCCATTTAATAACGGAAAGCGTTTCCGTAATTCGCGACTTAGAATTTCCTTTACGCCATTTATTCGAAATCCCCTTTAAGGGAAATTCCGCTTTATATAGTAACATTAAAACGCGCCCGAAAGACAATTGCATTCTTTGTTATTTTCGCGGAAAGTAAGATTAGAAAGTTGAAAGCTGAAAAAGCTGCATAATTCATCAGCAGACGTAATCGTGATTAACGATACCTAGAAGTTCATTACCACTTTATAGAATCTGCTATTTCAATTAAAATGTATCATTTAACGTATTGGACGAATTAGGGCAAATTAAAATTATGTGGTTATAAAATGTAATTAATTAATTAATTAATTGCAAGCGTCAAATGAAAGTCACGCAAATTCGCTGTGTGACGGCGTTATTTTATATTTTGTTCAATTTCATATTTATTACCCGCTATTTATTTCCTATGGCTTTATCCTTTGGGAAATTACAAGGAGTAGGTAGGTAATTTATATCTTATCGTTTCAGTTGAGAATTTTATCCCGTAAGGAAATTGGAATTAAACAAATATCTAATGATTGAAAACCCAAGTGTACCTACCCATTTTTAATGATTAGGGAATAAAATTGAGGATACAAAAGATAGAATTTCCACTGCGTATAAATAAAATTCGTTAAATTCAACAAAATTCATAATTACAACAAAACCTCCAGTTTTTTTTTGATAACAACGTTTGTCAATCTTCGGTTACATCTAAATTACAGTAATTATTTAGGTAATTACTTCGGTAGGTTTGTGTATATCGTGACTCTGATATAGCGTGATGAGCAGTACAATTAAATTTTTATTTAAAATGTAGCTTCATCAACCGCTGATAAGAATTGCGGGTTATTTACATTTAGGGGTCGCTTTACGAATACGTTAATCTAGAGATATAAGATTACCTCTCTGAGATAATTCGGTGAAGGTATATATTTTCCACTGTTGGAACACTAATAGTAAACAGCGTTGATAAATATTAGTATTTGGAATTACCCGTATACAACTTCGTTTATCTCAAAGCGTTTTCTGCAAGAGATTTGTAATATGTATGAGATCACAAAGGGATATCGTTTTTAAAGAATTTGCCTTTTTTGCAGGACCTTCTTTTTTTATTGCAGATTAATATTTTTTACTTTATTCTCCTGTGATTTTTGGCAAATAGCAAATAGAAATGAAGAAAATCAACTCAGCAAATATTTCTACAACCTAATTATTTTCAAACATCTAAAGATTTAATAGGACCTATTTCTCGTCGTTTTTATAACATCATGTCTTAATTAGGTCATAAATATATTGCTTTAGATTTAATTAATTTACTGACGGGCGCAATTTATGATTCAGTTACCCCGCATTTAGGAAGTTCAATGATCAAATTTTATTAAGCTTAAGTAGGGCATGGTAAACATTTATCGTCCTCATCCACTCCCCCAAATAAAACATAAATTTTTCTTAACGGTAAAGCATTAGCGTGTTGTTTCTTAATAAATTTAATCTTTATTCTACAGATTTTCGCAGACTTCATAAATTTCGGTCGCGTTTAGTACATTACTTCGGATAAAATCCGTTTTAATGGAATAATTCGAATAAATCTGATGGGGGATAATTTTACGAGGTATTTTGAATGTAAGAATGCACGTTTTTACACTAGACTAATAATGAAGCAAAATGAATTAGAAGATTAGAGAAAATTTAAATTCAGACGTTGTTTTAACAATAATTTTCTCGCCTTATCGTTATTAGGATATTACCTATTAGATAAATTCAACTGAACAATGATTTGCCGGTGGGTTTAATTCCCTTGAAAATTTATTTTATATATTCCATCAACTTATCAGGATTAATTTTCCGGACACCTTGCCAAATACCAAGTAGAGTTACAATGGCTATTATATAACGAATTTAGGTGACATAGGTTTTGAATTGTAACGTTCCGCCGGTTTATTCCGGAAAATTAAACTGAAAGGTACGTTCTATGTAGCTGGATTAAAGTTGGTTTTAGCGTTAGAAACAAGCAACGTTGTACTCGTATATGTTGGAATATTGTCATGATGTTTTTAAATAAAAAAATTAAAGCTGCTGTTAGGTATCCGCGGAATTGAGTAATTTTCGTTACAATTATTTCGTCGGTAGTGGTAATTTGCAAAACTGTGATAAACATACAGGGTATTTATTAAACATGCGGCAAAATTTGAAGAGGTCATTCCTTGGACTATTCTAAAGAATATTCTTTTTTGCTGTATGTTTAATAAACACACTATATAAAAGAAGTGTGTAGTTATATAGATCACGAAAATGTCTCTCCTGAAGGGGTAATAAAATTTGGCCTATCAACTTGGGGGTGGAGTTTCAATTTTTGCAGGAACGTCACGCATCAACCCTTGTTCGCGTTTTGCGAGTGTGTGCCCTTTTTATGATTTGCATTTCTACGGCTTTTTTGTAGACGACGCTCGGATTAACAAAAATCTCCCTGGCGGAAAAATCAGGAATTTATGTAGCCGAAAAATACTACGATAATGAAATCATTGCGCCTTCGGCGCAAATAAAATTTCCATAATCTGAGAGGAATTCCGTTGTTAGATAAAAACATGCCGATGTAAATCCGTGTGATACGTGAACAGCGGAATTTTATTCGATAAATAGGGAAATCTCGATAGCTGTGACACCCTCTTTGAATCAGACTGAAGGTAATTAAATCCTCTCAGCCGAAGGAAATCGAAATAAAACGCCTCTCAGGATAGCCACACTGATGATATAATGTTCGTTAACCTTGTCAGTCAATATTGATTTACCTATGTACCACTATCATCACTACCTGGGAAATAAGGTGTTTACCTTCAGCAAAGGCTTCATTATATCGATTAAGCGCTAATTGCATGCCTGGAAATCTCATGTTAGAATATGTGACAATGGCGATTCAAACAGACGATCTGGGTGGAGATTACAAAGCTCGCATATATTTGGCTTTTAGTCGTTATCTTGAAGACACGGAACAATTAGTGCGTGCACCAGGGCGAGTTGGAGTACGATCGATTGTTAATTAAAGACTAAATTAAAGTAATGAGGTTTATATTTTTGAAATTTGTGGAATATTTACAGCTCAGTAACAGGATTCAAGAGATGATGTTTGTTTTAATTCCATTAAAACCCCGCTGAAGTAAAATTACAGCAGCTGTTTTTACTGCGTTTGTTTAGTGTATTTCAAACAACAATCACGAAAGTAGCTCTCTAACCTCAAAGAGAACTAATAAGACTAATAAATTATTTATAGACTAATAAATTTCTAGTTACGTCGGCGCAATGAAACTAAATCCCCATTATTCCAAATTTAATGAAAGTAATTTGTATATCAACTTTTTTAATCCATAAATTCGAAGTCGATAGCGTCGGTATAGGTACAATCGGAAATCTCCTACTGTCGGGCAAATCGATGGATTTTATAAAGCCGTAAGCGCGGAACGAGCACCCTTATTTGCCTACTAATTTTGAATAATTCATATGACAGCGCGGGCAACATCCTACTGCGTTTAATCGAAGATTCGAACCGTCAGTACGTGTTAAGTAGACGCAAACATGGAAGTCCAGATTTACCGATATAATGCCCATCGCTTATTTATTATCCAATCAGAATAGACAATAAACCGATGGCAATGATTACATATCGAACTAAAATATTTAGACAGCTGTTTGAATTAATAAAAATATCCTTTAGCTAATAGACAGTAATAACTAAAATCGTAATTATTTTCTCCCTTCGTTTATCTCCTTGTCTGTCGAGCTTTTATGAGTTAAGTGTAAAGCAGTGCCGGTTTGAAAATTTCTAAA